GACGAATAGCTAAATGACATCAAAATCCTACCTTCATATATAATTTTTACCAATTATGGAATTTTTTTAACAAACTTTTAATTTATCGAATTAGTGCTGGGCAATAATAGACGATAGTAATTGTGATGATACTTTAATGTATATCATTACATTATTTTAAGTAATTTCTTTATTTTTATCTAGAGCTTTGTTCGTTAAAAAATTTCTGTTGGAAGTTGAGGAAAAGCGTTGATTCGACTGTTTGTTGATTTTTATAGTTACTGTTTAAATGAAAAACATTGAAATTAATATTATGTGTTGCTATTTAGCTAAATATTAACAAGATATTAGGAACACATAGAGGCATTTTTATCCCTTAAGTCCAGCCCTATAAGGAATGTTAAAACATATTTATACAAATACCATCTTCTGAGCTCTAAATATACTGTAGTTCTTGCCACTTTCTCCAGTACAACTGTTTGAGTTGTGACATCTATTTGTAAAAGTTGTTTTTTTTTGTGGTTTATTTTGCTGTGATGGTTAGTGAAGTCTCTAAAAATCAGAGCTGGCATATCATCAAAAAAGGGAAATATGAGTCTTGTTTTGAAATTGTTTAAACAGCTACTGGGTTATAAAAAAAAAACATGTTTTGGCCAATTAATACCAATCAGGATGGTACATGCTCTGATTTGTACATCAAAAAGTCTTCAGTCAACCTGCACCACCTGAAAAATATCAAAACATAATTGACCAGTGATGGCTTCTAATCACTTTTGCTTAACTTCCATTGAAACCCCAGATGCAGAAGGAGTATAAATAAAATCTGTAGTCATGTGCAAAAATATTTCTCCCCAAAAAAAAAACAAAGATGAGACTGTTTAATTTATGGCAGCATGGAGGATGGGCTCAGTGATATCCTCCTCTTGCTCAAACAAGAGCCTGATATTACTTGCCCCAAAGTGCAGTTTTGCAATGTGGCTTTCTCCCCCAACATTTTCCAAGGAGAAGATAATTAAATCTCAGACCTTGTTGTTGGGGAAACTCAGTCCCCTCGACTCCCTGCAATTATCAGTGCAGAAGGAACCTTCTTTGCGTTTGGGTGCTACGTTTCCCAGCACAATGAAGATTAATTAGGTCTTAGCAGCAAATTACTGTAAGGCCTCTCCTCATCTGTAAAATGCAGCTCATCTCTAATGACGGTAGACTGACAAATTACACACAACTATCTGCCTGAAGATGCTTGAGATACTTTGTGACGCTGAGGTTAACAACCTTTAAGAACACGCTGCCTGGTGTGTGGCTTCTATGCCAGAGGTGTGACTTTCTCTGTGTGTTCACAATGCTCTGTTTGAGTCTAAAAATGACGTTTATGTTTGCTCTTAGTCATAAAGCCAGGCAATCAGTCTGAGTGTCAGGAGCACCTGGTTCGCTTGTTCATGTCACGCTGGTCAGCAATGCAGAAAATTACTGCGTTCCACCAAATGGAAATACCACTTGAATGCATGTGTTAATTAGATCTCTGCGTGGCTTTTCAGAGTGCCTCTCCTCCTCCTCTGCCCGTGAGTCATGTGCTGACTCTTTGACCTGTCACTGCAAATCCAGAGTCTCTGCTGAGGGCAAACGGACAGAAAAGCAAGCTCGCCCTTTTTTTCCCCCCTCATGATCATGACAAGTATATTTGAACATATTGATTTACAATGTGGTTTTTAGCAGGAGAAGTTTCATGGCCAACTTTGGCGTGGCACCTTAAGCCCTCTTTGTTTGCTCATGGGGTATGTTTGTTGTGTTGCAGAAAAATAACACTAGATTATAAGATAGTTTGGGCATTTTTCACCGTAAACATAGGATTTAATGTTTTCTGCACTACTTTTTGTAAGGATTTCATTAACTGTTTTTACATTTTCTGAGGAAAAAGCCACAAACTTGGATGTATTTAAATGGAATTGATGTGTTAGACCAATCTAGAGTATATTTGTGTGGAAGTGAAAACTCTGAATAAAGGGGATGCATGCAACAAATTTCTTTCTGTGTATGCTCAGTGCATACAAAATTACAATAAAATTTGTCACTTGTTTATCCCCCCCCTTTTTTTTCTCTGACATTCCTATTTAAATTCTTGTGGAACCTCCTTGCTTTCACAAGAATCCTAATAAAGGAAAAAAAGTCCATATGAATGTGATTTAATCTCAGGAACAATCCAGGTGTTCCTCAAAGTCCTCTGGATGTTTGTTAGAGAACATTGGAGATCAAACGGCATCATGAAGACCTAATAACACTGTAGACGAATAAGGGGGGGAGTTGTGTAGAATTTTAAAGCCCATTTATGCTGTAAAACAATATGGTCACTCAGGAGGAGCTGCAGAAATCTATAGCTCAGGTAGAGGAATTTATATGAACATTAATCTATTAATCACTTTTACGGGTGTTGGGGAAAAAAATTTTTTTTTGGCACTATATAGCGATT